GCGGATGTGACAGAGCTGCCGAAAAATATAACAAAATAAAACTTTAGTCAAGATCTCAGCGCTTGCTAAAAGCTGCCGCAACTCACATCGAGTCCGAGAGGCTTTCGGTGCGCGCCAGGAGAATGGCCTTCTCGAAGGGCGCCACCAGAGCGGGATCGGTTTGCGATAGCTGACGTTTGATTTGATTCAGTTCCTCTTCCTCCTCCTCGCCCTCCTGCAGATGCTGCATCAGGAAGTCGGCAAAGGCGCCCCTGTTCTTCAGCAGCTCAGCGTACGTGCCATTCTCGCTAATCTCGCCCATTTTCATTACATAAATCTTATCGGTCTGGGGCAGGAACGTGATGCCGTGGGTGACCAGGACACGTGTCTTTTTGGCCAGCATGCCCTTCGGACCGATCACCTCCTCGAAGATGTGTTTGCCCACATGCGCGTCGACCGCGCTCAGCGGATCGTCCAGCAGATACAGGTCTGCATCGTGATAAACGGCGCGCGCCAACGAGATGCGCTGCTTTTGGCCGCCGGACAAATTGATGCCCTTCTCGCCGATTTCGGTCAGATCGCCGGCAGAGAGTATCTCAATGTCGGTGCGCAGGGCGCAGGCGTCGATCACCTTATTATAACGCTTGCGATCGTACGGCTTGCCGAACAATATATTATCTCGCACGGTCGCGTTCTGGATCCAGGCCTGTTGCGGCACATACGCCATTTTGCCGACCGTGTTGACCGTGCCCGAGATTTTCTCCATTTCGCCAAGGAATGCTTGAATCACCGAGGACTTACCGGAACCGACGGTGCCAACAATGGCAACCAGATTATTTTTCGGCACCTGCATGTTTATATTCTTGAGCGTCATCTCGTCCTCATCGCCCCACGAGAAGTGGCCATTCTCAATGCTCATGGGATGCGCTAACAAATATTTCATTATTATTGAATTTGGAATCTTTGTCGGATTTACTCACGTTTCGAGGTATCATGCTGCACATTGTTGGGGTCCAGCTCTTCACTGTTCAGGAATTTGTTTATGCGTTGAACAGAAACTTGCGTCTATGCGAAGAGGAAATCGATTAGAAAACTTTTGATCGTTATACAACACTGTTGTCAACACACAGGTACAGTTAGCATTAGTTGTTGGTATGTTGGGATGTACGGAAAGGATTCGAAAAGCTCTTAGGTACTTTTAATAATTCGTCGTCGCCCAAGATTAAACGAAAAACTCGGCCTGCCGAAACTTCTGTACCCTTGCAGAGCTTTGGGTATACAATGGATGATGTCTATAGAAACCAAAACCTTAACTTCTTCTTATTAGATAAGATAGTCAGAAAGAAGCTGATCAGATTTTTGGTTAAACTACATTAAGAAAAATGTTTTAGTTTTAATTTTATTCATATATGATCTTGAATGTAAGAAAATTGAAGAAGAGTATTAATAAAAACAAATGTATTTTAACGATCGGACAATATTCACCGAAGTTTATTTAGAATTGAATCATTGAAAATACCCTCTGCAAGGGTATGCAAATGTGGAACTAAACTGAATGAAGGATGCCGAAGAAACGAATAGAAAATGTAGCCCAAAGCCAATGCTGCCGCTTTCTAAGGAAATGCCCCACTAAATTGTCAAAACTTTTTGTAGCACAGGACATTTCGATGATATATGGGAAACCCATTGAAAAACCATTAAAAAAAAAAAAACGCAGTTAGGGATAGTTAGGAAATGTTAGATTTGGATACATAATTGTCGTTCGTTGCTGTGGCTAAATAAAATAATAATTATAATAATAAATAATAGTTGAACATAAATTACAATCACAATACGGCACAAGGCAACAATTCACAGAGTGAACTGTACCAAAAATGTTCTTCCAGTTTCAGCTAGATACGATCTGCTGAAAGCTGAAAGATATTTTCAATTGGAATTGCAATATGGTAAACTTACTTGCACCAAGTTGGTGATCAGCATGGGCAACATGGTTAACGGAAAGCGAAGTATGTTGAATAATGATAATGAGACAAAGGTTTTTTTCGCATCGAGCACATTGTTTTCATCGATTAGAACATATGTGGCAAATGTGACTAATGATACCTAGAAAAATATATATATATATATAGTAATTCGTATTTGGGTTAATTTCTTGTCTTGTGTTTATGTTTTTCTCATCCAAATCTGGATGGTTGTGGTTGAGTGCCGATAGATGCCCATAGCCGAAGTAAATGTATCGATAATATAATCTAGATTCCGTTGGATTCGTTTGCGGCGGGCTTTACCTCGGCTATGTCAACCGTCAGCATGGGTATTATGGTCAACGGCAGTTTCATGATATCGAACAGTGCGAGACTGACAAGGACCTTCCCGACGCTCAGCTGATTCGCCTCGTTGGACAACAGGTAAGTGGCAAATGTCACCAAGGATACCTTATTTTTGTTTTGTGATTTTTTGTAATATTTGTTTTTTTTACATTTTTTTTTTTTTTTTGGACAAGATAATAGACACAGATTCCAGGATTAGAGCACGTCCCATAAACGTCAAGTGCTGCAAAGAGAGTTCAAAGCGGCGCCAATTTTCTGGCAATTCTTACCAAAAACGGCGCACACGACCAGAGGAAGGATGTGCTGGCATTCAAGTAGGCGGTCGCACGCAGTGTGGCTATTTCCTTGTCACGTATATCCAGCACCTGCTTCTCGAAACTGGGCTCCCATGCGTACAATTTAAGCACCTGCAATGGAAGATGAAAGAGTCAAAAGGAATTAGCTGCTAGCTTCAGGCACGGACTCACCTTAATGCCACTGAGGACTTCATTCATGAGCTTGACACGCTCGTCCTTGTACTTCATTTGGCGTATCTGATAGGTCTTGATGCGGCTGGCAATGAAGCCATTGAGCGGTATCATGATGATCATCACGGCGAGACCGGCCAGCACGGAGGGACCCAGCTGCTGCCAGAGGAAGTAGAGGGCCAGCGCGATTTGCAGCGGTGCGGACCACAACATGTTTAGATAGGTGGTCAGGTCCATGAAACGTTGCGCATCCACGGCCATCAGATTGACAATTTCACCGACTGTGGACGCTTTGCGGGCGGCGTTCGAAATGCGCAGCGCCTTGCGATAGATGCAGTTGATCAGCGCTGTCCGGATGCGCAGGCCCACAATGAACATGCGATGGAAATACTGAGCGAGTATAAAGGTCTGTGCGCTGGCCAGCACAAACAATAGTATCGAATACATGATGCCCTTCCATTCCGGCTGCGGCACCTTGGCAAAGTCCTCCACATAGCCAATGATCAGGCTGAGCACTTGCGGCTGGGCAAAGGTCAGAATATCGGTGATCAGCTTGAAGAACGAGCCGAATAGGAAAATGCCACCAAATGATCTGTAAATGGGCGGCATAATGCTGGCCATGCCCTTCTTGCGGCCATTGCTCTGAGGATTCTCAAACGAGACCTTGCCATTGCTGAACTGTGCCTTCGGCTCCTGACCGCCGCTAGCGCGTTTGTAGTTCTTGCGCACATTCTTGTTCCAATAATGCGCAAAGGTGGGCATTACCTCCTTGCAGCTATCCTGCGGCCGTAAATCCCACAGATCCTTCTCCTCGAGCGGATTGCGATAGCCCTTCAAGGCCATCCGATCGAACCAACTGTACGTGATGCGCGACAGAAAACTGGCCGACAGCTCGGGTATCTCTTTGGGTCCGCGATAGTACTTGGTCTGCCTGGGCAGCTGGTCGGCAAAACAGTTGAGGATTAGCATCAGGCAGGTAAAGGCAAAGAATATAAAGAAGCTGGCAAACTGATATGTCTCCCAGGTGAAATCGTGCGGCTCCGCCTGTTGCGAGCCAATAATCTGACCGCGCTCCTGATGCAAGCGCGCCTCGGTCCGACACCGTGGTATGGAGAATATAGTCAATAGAAACCAGAACATGAACTGGCAACCAGATGTCTGAACGCCATACTTGCGATTCAGCGGTATGAACATCAGTACCATCAGCTGCAATTGGGAAAGATTTGTAGTATATGAAACAAGTCAAGTATTGTGCAGCTTACGAAGGTGAGCAATTTTATGATGGGCGTCCAAATGTCCACGCCATAGAGCGGCAGTTCGGAGTCGCCGCCCTTCTTGACAAACGACATGATCAGATCCAAGGCGGTGACCACCAGGAGACCCACATTTACGAGCAGTTTGCTAATGTTCAATCTGTTCCATGGTATGTTCTTATCCAAGCTGGCCTTCAAATACCAAAAGTCGAATAGCATAAATAGCCAAAAGAAGGCACAGGGTGCCCAAACTAGAACTGTTTGCTCGAAACAGGGTGTAAAATCTGGATCGGTTGTCCACCACGTCTCATTTGCATCCTGTTAGAAATATTAATGCGTAAATAGCGCGGCAAACAAAGCATTTGTCTCTCGCACTCACCCAGAATGTGGAGCCGCAAAACTCGTCCATGGACGAAAAGGCAGTAGCGTCTCCCATGGTCGAGTTTTGGCTTTAAACTTTTTGTGTAAGCACTCCTCCACGTGCGTGTCTGTGGGCAAAACGAAACTGTGAAACATGTAAAAAAAAAAAAAAAATTGTACTATGCAAAAACAGCTGGTTTATTTCACAACACAAGAAGAAGCAGCAAAAACAAGAAAATATAAAAAAAAAAAAACGATAACGATAAAATTTAGAGACGATACAACACTGAAGAACCAGTGTTGCCAATTTAGCTGAAATTACGTCAGATCTGGCATATTCTGAGGTATCAGTTTTAATTATGACCATAAATTGGGAAACAAAGGAATTAGGTACAAATAAAATCGTTTTAGCAGTACTGAAGAAAATTATGCTAATTCAACATATATAAATAAAAAGTATATTTAACTGGAACTGCCATATATTAACGGTTGAAGAGCAATATGAATTGAGTTCTTTTCGATACTCTTTACCTTTTCATATATATAAAGGTGCAAAAATTGCATATCAAGACAGGTTGCACGCTTTTCTGACTGGTTTTTGTAACTTCAGCCGTTTTTAGCTATTTTTATTTTGGCCAGTCCATCTCTATACTCATTTCATCGACAGTTGGCAAAACGGCTTTAACAACACTGCCAATGTTATCGCATTTACGACTAATCGTTTGGCAACCCTGCATGGCACTATGCGTGTGCCGAATGATAAAAGAAAAATACACTTTGCCTGTCGGAAAATATAAAAATAGTCAAGTAAATAGAAATAAAGGTATATTAACTGTTTTGTAAACTTCAAATTTGAATTGAATACAAGGGCGCAAACATGTCGCGCCGCAGCAACTTTATCGAGGGCAACGACAACTTTCGCGAGCAAAACTTGCGCTTTGTGAGGGTGAGCTAAAAAAAAGCGCAATTATAAATATTGTTCAATTATCATTTGCCAATTGTTAATTGTAGAACGAGTTCGAAGAAAATATAAATCAATACTTTGGCGGCACTGAAACGGCCGGCACAGGCCCAACTGCTGGCAATGGAGCACCGCCGCGCGATTCTATTATTGTACAACCGACGCCCGGTAAGTGCCTGCACTTGGGCCTAATCTGGCAATTGTTGTGCTCCGTGCATGACATTGGCTATTTGTTAACTCTTTTCAATTTTATCAGTAGCTTTAATTGCTTATCGCGTCACAAACGATTCGTGTCGATCGCTGACACATTGGTTTCCCCCCCCCTCCCCACTCCCCACTCGAGTTTGTGTTTATTCAATTTGAACGCTGTCATTCGAATTCCCAATCTGTTTTATCAAAACTCTTCATTACTCAATAATACCTGCATGTATATGGACTTCTAGCTATTTGAATGAAACCCGTTTTGCGTCTGCGTCCCACACACACACACACTTGATCTTTAACGATGCCAGATTTTATTGATCTATGCCCGAGGCGAAAACGAGTTTGTTTGTGTTTTAGTAGAAAATGTTAAAATAAGCAACTAAATTTTAACAATTCTTAAAGCACCGCTGGCCAAATACTCTAATCGGCTGCATTTATAGCTAAAACCGGAATTGGAATTCTTTGGGAATTCTCGTTCGCACTTGACTTTGAGTCTGAGAACTTTATCAAATGGATATTTTTCCGAAAATAGTTTAAACTCAGCTCATAATATACATAATTCCCCATATTCAAACTGATTACAACTTGCATATAAAATGTAAACCATACGAATTCGTTTGGAATTCGAGATAAGCTCGGCTGCAGGCCGACTAACAAATTAATTATACTCTCGAGCCAAGGTTAAAGTAAACAAAAACGAGTATTTTTCGTTCGGATAAAACATTTGTAATTAATGGCAAACCTGTTCCGGCGACTATTCAAAGTTATGTAATTGAATCAAATATCCGCCAAACGAAATAAAAAAATTGTGTTATATACGACAAATGCAGAAATATTCGCATTTTAGCAGAATCTTTCGCATGTGTCGAGTCATCGTGATGCTGCTCTGCTGTTGATTTCCACGAAAAATGTCAGAGGAGCACACTGATAAAAATATAAACAAAATATATATCAGAAAAGTTCAATATTGAACTTGCGTTCTTGTCACTTTTCGGTCAAAATAAACATTATATAGATGTATATATATGTATGTATAGCATATTATAAATAATTGTATACTCTGTTTGTAAGATGAAAAAGAGTTTATTGGTTCGTGTCAGCTTTGCAATAAGATTCAGCAAAGGGCGAACAATTGCGGCCACAGATTTTTTTACCAATCACACTTTGAGAGTCACTGAGAAAATCTGTGGCAGTGTTAAGACCGAGCGAAGGAAGACTTAATACTGTCGCGCAAACAGTTTGAAAGTAACTGCGAAAGTGTATCTTAAACCGTTAGAAGAGTCCAAGAATCGATTTCAATTAACTGCACAGTTTGAAAATCACTGTCTTGGGCTTACAGTTGCAGAGCAACTAAGCACATTAACACGCTCTGCGTTCTCTCCAGGCTTTATTACACAGTTTGAGCGACAGCGAACGGTTCACAGTTTAACAGCCGCTGAACGAATAATTAAAGAGCAGTGCATTGCGCATTCGATGCAACTTACTCAAGTGTTATTTATCACTTGATTGTCTATTTAGACATTATCGCTGCACATGCCATTTATTAGCTATCACTTGTTCAACTTTATCGGCCGCTCTGCTTTGGGCTTTTGTCTTTGTGTTTCCTATTGTTTATTGTGTCCTTTCACAGGATTGCGCAAACTTTGTTATCATTATCTTTCAAGTTGTTTCTGAGACGTGCGCGCGGCAACACGTTGTTATCATTTACAGGCCCAAGTACGCGCACACACACACACACGCATACTTTTTTAACTACCGTTGTATACACATACATACAAATATATTGTTTCTGTTTACTGTTGCTTTAGTTTTGAATTGCACTTTATAATTTTATTGTTCTTGCTTATCGCGCTTGTTTATAATAGCTACGTGCGTGCGTGCGTGCACATGTGTGTGCGTGCGTGTCTCTCTCGCTCGCTCTCTCTCTCTATTTCTGTAGGCCGCTTCTCAGGGCCCTTTTTTGGGGAAATAATCGACAGTTGGGCTTAAGTTGTGACGTCATCGTATCAGGTTTTGCCTCCAAACTGTTCTAACTGTTCGCAGCATAGAAGCATTATAAAATTTAAATCACACACACATATGCACATATATTTTATGCATATAAATCATATAATTGCTCTGTGTCATTTCAGTTTGGCTTTATCAATTATAAAATCGCACTGAGCATGACCAAACAGAACACAAAAACACACAATTTGTCAATTATCGAAATTGTTGCCAGATCTTTTTTTTAGTGATTCATAGAAAATCGTTAGAAATAATTTCTCAGTGGAAACCCTTCTAGAACGTGCGTGTGGGCATTTCACAATGTGTGTCAAATAACTTTCGTTCGCACTTGTTACGCTTGCGGGCGCCCGACTGACAACAACAACAACACCAATAAAAGCCACTTATAATTACCTCGGCGAAATAAAGTGACGTACAAAAATGCTGCTGCTACTGTTGCTGGGTTGTGTGAGTTGCCGGCACTGTTATTTCTTAAATATTCCTTCGACCGGCTCGTGTCGAGCTAACAAAACCAACTGAATGCCAGACGCACAGCCCGGCGGCACTTATTTGTTTCTATTTGAAGCGCTCCCGCTCTCTACACCGATACCAATGCAATCCGTTTAATCAAGAGCTGGCAAAGCACATCGCAATCAAAACGTGCACACTTGCTGCCTTTCCCACACAAACGTACCGACTCTCTCGCTCTCTATCTCTCTGCTGAGTGGGCTTGCGGTTCTCTTTTGCTTGATCAATGAAAAGCTGTGCAGCTTAAGCCAGACTTGGGCTGGTCAGGCGCACAGCTGGTCACACTGCCACGCTTGTTGAGCCTTTGGGAATTTAAGTTATGCGCGCACACATACACACGCACAAGTGCCTAATTGGCAAGTCATTGCTCATCGGCATTTTAACGCGCGCGCCAAAAGATAGTGCTAAGGCCCCCCAAAGAGCGATGGCAAAAGAGAGGGAGCGAGATAAGAGCGTGCGCGATAAAAGCACACAATATTTCATATCTCTGATGAAATAAGCAAACAAACATTTGTCGATCAGATGGTTGAGTTATTCTAGGCAAACACATACATACACATACATATATTATATGTACATAGCAAATGTATGCAATTTACATTGTTAACAGTTCTGGAAATAACAGCCACGTTTGACTCATGTCATGTGTCAAAAACAACAGAGAATGTTATTTGAACATCACGCACATGTTGACAGCGATTTAGTTGAGTATTGTTTACAGAGACAAACAAAAATCCCCAAATAAACATATGCTCAACTTAAAACCAAAATAAACGGTTGGCAAAAAAAAACAAACAGAACTCACTCATGCACACTCAACACGGCACTCTTAACATAAACCAAAGAGTCAAGTGCGAGTTGGTCGTGTGTGTGTGTGTGTGCGTGCGTGCATGTGTGTTGATTTTAATCAAAGTGTCTCAATTTTCTTTACATGTCGCTTTTACTCATGCAAAAATTGAGCAGGCAACGGTGAAGCAAAGCCGTTCCGAAGCGTTGAACTGGATCAACGTTCGCAGTACTTTCGCCAGTTGGGCCTCAATCGCAGCCGAGCTCATGCCCTGGCCGTTGGCTCCTTGAAGGTGCCCGATTTCAATTTGCGCGACATTCAGCGGCAAAGATATCGCATGAGCGTTGAGGCCGGCGACGAGCGCCAGGCGGATGTGGACGCCTTTATTGTCAAAGAAGTTACAGCTATGATTGATTCGCGTCAGGAAAGGCTCAAGCAGCGTCCGCGCACTCCGCCGCCGCCGAGAGACATCGATTGGCATGGTAATGGGTGCGCTCCACGGCAACGTGCGCCAAGCCCCGAAAATTTTGGTCTGACTCGCCGATTCGACGAACATGAACGAAATGAACAGTTCCGCGAGCGTCATGGCAATTCTCGTGAGCGAAAAGAAAGCCAACGTGAGCGGAGCGATGATTTTCGTGAGCGCAACGATAGATATCGTGAACGAAACGATGAGTTTCGTGAGCGGAGCGAAGATTTTCGTGAGCGGAACGACAATTTTCGTGAACGAAACGACAATTTACGTGAGCGAAACGACAATTCACGTGGGGGAAATCCAAACTTTGAACGGGAAGACAGTTTTCGTACCCGACATTTTGAACGAAATGATAATTTTCGTGAAGCGGAACCATTTAATGATAGCCCAAGATTTTTGGATAAAATTCGTAGCCCAAATCAACGCAAAGAGCTGCAATTCCAGGACGAGGAACGTTTCATTGTTAACAATAATCGTGAACCAATTGGTTCCAATTTCGGCTTGAATCGTCGTTCACCAAGTCCCGAAAATTATCGATCAAATTATGATAATTTTCGCGCAGAGCGTCCAAGAAACTATGAGAATTCCAATCAGAACGCTTTCGATGATGATTTGAGGTCTGCTCCGCGACAGCTGCAGGTGGAAAACTATCGTGGAACTAGTTCGGAGCGCAGACTAATTGATGTGCGTTTCGTGAATGAACCAGATGAACAACGTTTTTACAATGAACGCAATCAAAGTTATCCCGAGGATAATTTTCGTCAACGGCCCGTTCTGGATGAACCTTTCCAAAGGTGTGTACGGAATGAGGAGCGACGTCAGCAATATGCAGACGATTTTGGGCCAGGACCCAATTTTGTGGGAAATAACTTGAATGAGGGAAATGAATATGCTTTAAATATAAATCGTTATAATTCTGATGGAAATTTGCCAGACGAACGTTGCAACTTTGATCCCGATTTCCAGGACAGGAACTTGAACATGGGACCCGATTTCCAGCCAGGTCCAATGTACAACAACAGAAATCAACCCAACTGGAATAACAGCAATAATAATAATCCAATGAATCAAACCAATTGGAATGTCAATAATCCCACGAACCAACCCAACTGGAACAATAATAATAACAATCCCGAAAGCTTTGGCTTTGCAGGAGACAATCCGGACATGATGCAGCCCAACATGATTTGGCCAGCTCAAATGAGAAACAACTCGCAGAAGCCGCAGCTGCCCATGAATCCACCAAGGAGCAAGGATAATAGACCAAGTCAGGCGCAGGCTGCCCAAAGATTAATGCAACAAAAGCCATCGCCGATTCGAACTGGCAATATTGTCACAAAGAAACCCCTGATTGCCAATTTACCTGGCAACAGGCAAACGGGCGGCAATCCAACCAAAGTAAATAAACCAAATCCAGGCAGTGCTGTGGCCAAAAAGCCCTTACTGCCAGCTCCGGCTGGCAAGAAAAATGTTCGCAACAATTTGGTAAAAATTAATACGATTACAAACCAAAATCCAAACAGGCCGAGCACATCGCAAGCCGCCAGCAATCTGATAAATCTATCAACAGCAGCTTCCCGAAATGGTAAGCCCTATAATAGTTCCGTTATAAAGTCCTCAAAGCACTTAAACAGATAGAGATAGATTTTCTTAAAATTTTTTACGCTAATATTTTTTCGAATTTTTACCTACCCAATACAAATTTAAGCTTAATAGCTTAGTTTTAGATCACATAGAACCATAAAACGCCAAGAAAAGTCGTTGGTGCGGTTCAGGATTTGAACCAGTTCATGAATTCATTCAAGCAAGACCCAAAGAACGTAAAAAGAACTAAATTAGAATTAGAACTAAAAAGTTCTTTGGTTTGGTTCACAATTTGAACCAGTTCATGAACTCTGATGTGGATTCGAACCTTGGTTCTTTACGTGTTATTCCAATATAAACGATGCGATGTTGTTTTAATATTTAACTTTGCTCCAATTATATGAATTCACATAGTTCCGAGAACTAAATACTGCAAGAAAAGTTCCAGTTCCAATTAAAAACACTTAAAATAAAAAAGAGAATTTCATGGTTCAAACCACTTTGACTGATTATTTACCTTAACATATTTCAAGAACTTAATATACCACAAGAAATGTTCCAGTTCTAATCAGAAAGTAAAGTTCGAGAACTAAATATTATATAGTAAGAAAAATTCAAGTAAATAAGTAAAGTCAATGGTTCAAACCCCTGTGACTTCAAATCTTGCTCTTAGAAATCCATACTCGAAATGTTGTAAGTGCTTTGTGGAAGAGTAGACCAGAAATATAGTCCGACCTCTTCACAGCCAACAAGCGTGCAGCAGATGGGACTTGTTCAGGATTTTGGACCAAGGCCGAGCTTAAGAGACGCAAGCTGGCCGAGAAGCGTGGATTTTTGATTGGCGGCATCAAGCTGCCGTATATAAACAACAGTGCCAGGGAGTTGCCACAGCCGGAGGATAAGTCCTATGCGATCACATTTTTCGAACAAGAACCCATCTACAATACGGCCATTCATGTGACGGACAATGATGAGGGCGACATGGCCAACATTGAGTCGGACGAGAATTCGGATGATGATGATGCGCCGCCAACGGTTGCCAACCACCGGTTGGTTCTCAAGCCGGGCACCAGGAAGCGCAATGCTATACGCAAACGGATCAGTGCCGCCTGGACGAAGACGTATCGGGCGAATAATTATAAATGCTGGCTCACCTGGTGGCAGGCGTACAAATGGTGCGAAACGGAGCTGAACAAGCAGCTGGAAAGGTTCGGTTCGCTCAATATCCGGCAGGCATTTCTGCCCAACTATCCGAAGAAGACCACGGAGCAGGTGATTAACATGGTCATGAAATCGGCTCATTTTGCGCTCGAGGAGAACACAAGCTCACATTTTCGTAACCACAAAACTCTATACAAGCTCATGAATGAGACGTTTCTTGAGAATCTCACGTTGCCCGTTGTCGAGCAGCTGCAGGAAATGATACGCGGCTGCCCGAATCATTTGTGGGTATACAAAATGCGTAGCATGGTTTATCTGTGGGCGGAATACTATAAAATCTTTAAGGCCAATCCCAGAAATGGGGCCCAATTTGGGGCCATTCAGTCCAAATGGAAGAGTCCCGTCTTCCACTGGATGTGCAAACAGGCATTCGATGAGCTAAAGGTGGGCAGCGATTTTTTATTATTATTTGTTTTTGCCAAGCTCATATTTATAATCGAATCCATCTGTATTTGCAGGCAATCAGTGCAATCGAGTGGCCTGATCACGCTAAGGAGTATGCGCGTCTGAAATCTGAAAAAGAACTATAAAACTTCAGATATTTGAATTTTAGTGACTTTGAATTTAAATGAAAACGTATTGAAATCAATGATGAATTAAAATAATGTACGCTAACAAGCTTCTTTTGTACTTAACCGCAGGATAAATTTTGCAATTGAGTTGGCCAGGGCTGCAAGCCTAAAGTTATTTGAATTTTTTGCCACTTTAAACTTAATTGATACAAATAATATTGTTCTCTTAACAAGCAGTAACAAGTTGACTTTGTACTTAATCACAGGATAAACTTTACAATCAAGTTGTCTAGGGCTGCAAACACAAAACTGCAACTGGTTCGGTTCACGGTTCAAACTAACTCGCGGTCTAGTTTCGGTTCGTGAACCTGATTTTCTACGTCCATGAATACGGACTTTGGTTTGATTATACTTAATTTTAAGAAAAGGAAAAGGTTATTTTAAGTTTTAACAATCTAGTCGAATTTTAATTTATTTTTGATTTTTTACTCGATTTTATTAGGATTCTGCGTGAAGAGCTTTAAAGTCAACAGCAATGAGAAGTTCTTCATAAACGTCTGCCAGGCACCGGAAGTGCCCGGACCCAAGGATATAACCGATGCGGAGCTAATTTCCATACTGGAATCATGCGAGCCGGGCTCGTTTCGTGTGCCCATGAGCATCTCGGAGATGCGCAGCGCCAAGGATCGCTCCAACAATACGGTGGACGTGTGCGACATTGCCATCAATCCGAAGTTCCTGTTGAAAATCAAAAAGTCGCAACTGTTTAACAATTTCTTTCTACAAATTGTCGCCGAGGCGCTCAGCGAAAAGTACAACATACAAATAAGCATGGACAAGACAATTATCCTGAGCAATCGCAAGTTTATCGGAACCCTGGCGCCGCATCGTGTCCGCAACGATGATGTGCAGCGGGCGGGCGGACCAAACGCACCCAACGAGTCCCAGCCACAGGCTGGGCAATCCGCATCGAAACCCGGCGCTCTGGTGCAGGAAATCGACGAGGAGCATGCGGCCAGCATCCGGAGCAACTGGGCCAAGAGCCGTGAGCCCATCTACAAGCTGCGTGCCCGGGTTCGCGATGAGCTCGTCGACGAAATCCATGCTGAACTCTATTTGCCCAATTGCGTGAGTCTATATCATAAATATGTTTCGCTGGCAAACACTTTAACATATCTTGCCTGCCAGGTCTCGTCGCAGGAATTCAGCTTGGACATTGGCGAGGATCGCATTTTGATCGAGTCCCCGAAACATGGCTATGTTTTTGATAAATTCGTCAACTATCGCCTGAACCAGGAACGCGCCCAGGCGCTCTTCGATAAAACCAGCAAGGTTAACATAGAGCTTATATATGTATATTCCAAGTTCTAGTAATTATTGGATAACTTTTTCAGATGCTTCAAGTACGCATTCCGGTTCTGATCTAATCAAGGACATAAAACAAAACACAAACTGAAATTCTAAAAAAAATAAAGAGCAATGATAATCAAATGAAGTATTAATCATATTTTAAATTGTTTTTACTCTAATGTCTAGATTATGCAAAAATCTTTCTTTAAAAGATTCTGTTCAGATGGGAATTTCCATATTTTAAACCTATTTTTTTTAAATAAATATCTTAAAAAAAATTAAAACCTTTTCAAAATAGTACCAGGTCTTTAGATAGAGAGGAAAGGCGAACGTCTATAAGTACAGGCAATATCATATAATTCCCAGGCATATCTGATAATACAGAAAATAAAGGCCTGATCTTAGGTCTTGAGGTATTCTTCAAAATTATCGGCAGGGGCATATTTTTATGGCTAAATATATCCTGATTGTATTGCTATTATTTTCCTCAGCCCTAGACTACTTAAAACTACATTTTTTTAAGGTAAAATAATAATATTACTTTCAATTATTTACCAACATCTATAGCTGTATAACACTGGGCGTGTGTTTGTATAACATATTTCTCCAGTAAACGGCAGTCAATGTGGCGTAGCCCTGGTTACACCTGGCTTAAAACACCCTGTGAGTTCCATTCAAGAACCAGTCAAGCAAATGTTAAGTTACATCTAAAATAACGAAGTTAAATGTATTAATTAAATAAAAGAAATTGTCAGATTAAATTTAATTGTAGCTAAGAAATAGAAATGAAAAAAAAAAACTTGATTTACTTGTTCAAATGTGGAACAGTTGCTGAATTAGTTCAGTTTTGGAACAGTTCCTGAATTAGTTCAGGTTCACGGCAGCTCACTTCGGCGCTTTACAGCACTAGTCCGCATGTATGTGTGTGTGCGCGTGTGTGCGTGTCTGTCAAATGTGAAAATATTACAATTTAGAACGGCATCAAGCAGCTAGCGTATTGTAAAAAAAAAAAAACAAAATTGTAGAAATAGCTGCAAAAGCCGTTAAAATCATACCTTGTCGTCACACATAATTAGTTAATCGTTTTAGAGAGCAGTTAGTCGGGCAGTATGGACCATAGATTCAGTGCCTACGGCATTGGGCAGCGTCGACAGCCCAATGATACATCGTCTTTTGCGCCAATTCGCAGCGGCGGCGGCGGAGGTGGTGTTGGCGGTATTGGTGGTGGTTGTGGTCCATTCGATGATAATTTTCGTAGGTCAATGAATAATATTGACAACGGTTACAACAATCAACGGTATGCAGATATTGATAACAACAAGTTTGGCGGCATGCAATCAAACAATTACGGACGCTCCGGCGGCGACATTGGCTTCTCTAACTTCAACAATAACCACAACAACAACAGCAACAACAACCAAAGGTTCGGCAATGCCGGCCGTGGAGCAGACCATGTGAGTGCTGCGCCGATTAAGAGCAACTTTGATGATAAATTTCGTGGACCGTCGCAGCAGACGCAGTCAAATTTTCTGGGACGCACTTTCGACCAGCGATTCAATATAAGCGGCAACGACAACAATCGAAATGCTAGCAATAACGGTTATATGTCCAGTTCCGACAATTATCGTGGCCCTCAGCAACAACAACAACAACAACAGCAGCTGCCAACAAACTTGGGCATGAGTCGCTCTGTTAGCGATCTTAGCTACAACAACAACAACAGCAATAGCAGCAACATTAACAACACTGACAATCAACGCTTTTACAACAATGATCGCAATATCGATACTTATCGACGTGGCGATCATTTCAATGACAATTTGCGCGGCCAGGAATCGAGTAATTTGGGGCGCAACGGCTCCAATTTTAAGTTCAACAATGAACGCACTACTGCGCCTTATAATACGGGTAACTTTGGCAACTTTAACGATCGCGGCATCAATGACGACTTCCGACGGCCGCAGTCCAACGATTTCCCCATAAACAACAACAACAACAGCAACAATAATCAACCATTCTATAACAACAATAGCCAAGCATCAATTGGGGCTGGCAACTCGAATGTGCAGAATTATCGCGGCCCAAACAATGCTAGGCCCGCTGGCGAGGCTTACGCAGTAATGGAGACGGTTAACGCTCTGATGAAGAACCAATCCAACTGGCAAGTGGGCAACAACAACTTTGGCTTCGGCCAGGGCAAACCGAATGTTGGCGGCAATCGCAACAGCAAATGGAATTTCGACAACAATAGCGGTCCCAAGCTCAATGCCAATCCCAATCCCATGCCAGTTGGCAACAGACCGCCGCAGATGCTCAATCAGGGCAGACCACCAGCTGCCAGGCAAATAATCAACAACAACAGCAACAAGCCACAGCTGCCCCATGCCGCACGCAGGCCGCCAGTTGTTGTCAACCGGCCGCAAAATCCGCAACAAAAGCAAATTATTAAAAATCCATTGAACGCTAGAAATCAACCAGCTGTGGCCCAGTCTGTGGCACTCAATGGCGGCAAGCCGAAGCCAGCTCAGCTGCCGGTCAAAAAGAATCCGATCGCGGCGCCAGCTCCAAATACTCAAGCGAAAAACAAAGCCAACATCAGCAGCAGCAACAACAAACCACAGGAAGTCAAGAAAGAAGCTCCCAAAACTAATGCTAAAGGTAAAGCCGAGGGTTAAGTACACTAACTCGATAAGCCGAGCAGAACCTTCGCCCGATTCAGTCGAGCTTTGTATTAACGTCTTCCCCTTTTGCAGTTCCCGGTCAGAAACGCGTAGCCGAGGCAGTTCCCGTGCCGCTCACCAAGGCCGACATCAAGCGTCGCAAGCTTGCGGTGAAGCGCGGCTTTTTGCTGGGCGGCTTCAAGCTGCCGTATATCAACAATCAGAAGGTGGCACTGCCACAGCCGGAGGACAAGTCGTATGCGATCATGTTCTTTGAGCAGGCGCCGAATTACAGTACAAGCGGTGAGGAGCTGGACGACGAGGCACTGGCGGAGATGCCCAGTTTCGAGCAGGAGGGCAAGAATGCGGGTCGCACATTGGTGAAGCGCATTCGCAAGCGCTTGCACTATGAGTGGGCCATCAAGGAGGAGTCCAAGAAGTACTCATCCTGGACAGCCTGGTGGACGGATTACAAGTGGTGCGAGGCGGCCATTAAGGAGCAGCTGCAGCCATTTGGCAGCATCAATTTGCGCAATTGCTTTATACCGGACTTTCCAAGGTTGACAACCGATCAGGTGGTCGATGTGATTGTCAGCCAGGGCCAATTTGCGCTGGAGAAGAATTCCGATAATTATTACAATAACATGAAGTCCATATTTACATTGATGAATGTAACCTTTTTGGAGAACCTCAAGATGCCGAACACCGAGAAGGTACAGGACATGATACGCGGCGTGCCCAACGATTTCTGGACATACAAAATGCGCAGCATGGTCTTCTTGTGGGCACAGTATCTAAAAATCTCAAAGACCTCATCGCCGGCCACGGAAACCGGCGTCAAGGAGCTGCAGGCCATAGCCCGCGACTGGAAGAATCCCGTATTCCATTGGATAGCCAAGCAGGCCATCGACGAACTCAAGGCAAGCACATTTATTGAATTATATTTGAATTGTTGATTGATATTCAAATTTTCTTGGCAGGCTATCAGCGAGGTGGAGTGGCCGGAGCATAAACAGAAGTACGCCAGCTTGGAATCATCCGCTCCACCATCTTAAGGCAGCCGGCGCTTGTCCTGTATGCATTTTCATCCCAAATTTTATTAGAAATTGATAAATACATAAAAAAAAGAAACAACAAGATTGTGTAGATTGCGAGTAAACAAATAAATGCATACATCATAAGAAGGCACGGTTTATCTTTTGTGGGGCAATAACAGGATGAGCCTAGAGTGGATGTCTCTTCTGGTAATCCTCCCCAGAACTTAGGTCAGAAGTTTGGAGTCTTACCACGGCAAGACTTGGCTTTACAGATAGTTGTGGAGAATTGTTAAGATTTGAACTAAGTTCGTGTGTCTGGAGGAGAAGACAGTGGAGTGGACTGTGGATGTCTCTTCTGGTAATCCTCCCCAGAACTTAGGCCAGAAGTTTGGAGTCTTCCCAATCCATCAAGACTTGGCTTTACAGATAGTTGGGAAGAATTGTGAAGATTAGAACTAAGTTCGTGTGTCTGGAGGAGAAGACAGTGGAGTGGACTGTAGATGTCTCTTCTGGTGATCCTTTCCAGAACTTGGGCCAGAAGTTTGGAGCCTTTTGGGGGGAGAATTGTGAAGCTCCAAATTGTATTCGTGAATTTACAACTGATTAGCTTCAAGAATGACTTGGCTATATCGAATCACCTTGGACATGACACAACAAAAGATAACAACCTTTCGAAGGGTTAGAAATACTTCAAATATCGATTATAAAATAATTGAGTGCAGCTGCACCTGTTTTACCTTGAAAATCAGGTAAAACAAACGAACTTATTCAAAATGCAGCTGCCGCAATTTTATTGCCAGACTTTCATCTATGATTCCAATCTTGGCTCCAATTACAATTTCAAATTACAAATTAATAGGAAAAAAAAAAACAAATGCGCCGCACCACATTATGTAATCTAGACAAATGCAAGGCAATCTCTTGCCCTTAGGCGCCCAGCTGCTTGTACAGAATGGGCACATAGTCATCGTATTCGGCCTGGTAGAAGTTGCCCGCGACGGGATCACCCAGATCATATTTCTCGGCGAACTTGGCTATCTTGAAGCCGCCGCGTCCGTCGCCGCTGTTGTTGGGCAGACGCTTCTCGTCGAAGTTGAGCTTGCACTTCTGCTCGAAGATCAGAAAGATGTAGCGATGCAGGCCGGTATCGGGCGGCGGGCCGGAGCCAACGTAGGCGGAGAGCACCTCGCCCTTGGCCACATCGCTGCCGGGTATGTTGCCGACGAGCCAGTGATGCCATTCCCGGAACTTGGGATCCTTGCGACTGGGCGCATCCGGATCGGTCATGCAGAGCGTGTAGAGTTTCGACGCATCTGCCTCCCATTTGACGCACGGCTGATCTTTGACCTGGGTGGGGGTCAGCACATTGCCGGCCTGTACGGTTATGCCGCAGGCATATTCAACGGAAGCCGTGCCCTTGGGCGCCTTGGCTATTACATCGGGCACAACACAATGTTCCTCCATGCTGCCGCCGATCGATTTGCACGTATAGTTGCGTATCAAGCTAATAACTGGAATTGAACGCTGCAAAATGGCGAAATTTTCGCGAGAACTTGTCGCTGTTGCCGTTCTAACGGCATTGAGGGCATTCCAATTGACAGCCGTCATTGCGGTAGCCCTGATTATGTGATTCCATTGCGTGGATAATGTATTTTTCAGCATGCCACGCGTGCAGCCCACGCGTACAATATTCATTTTTGGCTAAATTCAATGTTTACTCAAGCCAAATCGAACTTTTAACTATTGTTTAAAGTTTAGTTAATTGCAATTATTTCACAGTTGGCAGCCCTGGCATTCACATGTGAACGCGTTAAATTGTTATCGTTATCGATGCTTTCCGAATTTTCAAAACAGGCTATCAATTTTGTTGAATACGATATGAATTTGGATTTGTGTTGATTTATGAACTTTGACGAAGATTAAACAGCCTGCCAGACAAATACGAGATTTACTTTTATTACTAGCCAGCGTTGTTGCTGAGCGACTTACCTAATTTTCCACTGAACGTTCCAATTGGATATAATACAGAGATGCTAATAAGAGTTGGTTGGGTTTTTAACAGCGTTGTCCATTTAGCAATTTTAAAGCTAAATATGGCTATTTTCAGATTTCGGCTGGAAACAGTTGAAATTCTCTACTTATATATGTTTTTAGCTGTTTTGTAACATAATAAAAAGAATTATTTCCCCTCCGATTAATCCAATTGGACAATATTCGCTAATTCTAATAAGATTCGTTTAACAGCGTTGTTAATTCAGCTATTTTGAAGCTAAATATGGCTATTTTCAGAGGTGGTCAGCCGAAAGCAGTTGAAACTCTCAACTGACTTGGCTATTTTTGGCATCTTAACAAGTAGATAATAGCTATTTTTAGCTTTTATTAAACTGAATCTAGTTCTGTTCCCGAGCATCAAGAATATATATTCTCTATCGAGTCAGAGATGCCGCGCAGAGGGTGTTACACAATGTTAATACCCTCTCCTAGGGTATAATTCAAAGACAACTTAAATTGGCAAGGGCTATGCTTATATTATATACAAATTTTCACGTAATCCTAAAGGCTAAATAATGACTGGTCGATCTTTTAGCTTGACAATATACTTAAAATGCTAGGACTTAAAGGAAAGTGTGATTAACAAAACAACAAAAATGAAGGAACAATCAATGGTATGATGCGTTTGATATGGTTTTTTTGGATTGCAATTTGAATGTGGTTCGTTGAAGTCAAGTTTGGGCCATGGGAAATAACTAAACTTGATAGCGCTGCTTGTGTCATGCCTTGCGGAAGACGTCGCTGGAGCCGTACGAGTAGCGACGCTCCTTCAGATTGGTGCTGACCAGCACCTCCTCGTCGTACTGGGAGACGCGCTGCATCTTGGGCCGCATCAGGCCGCGCACGTCCATCAGCGTGATGTCGATATCCTTGAAGGCGTTGAGCATAAAGACGGCTATGATGACAATTAGAAAGCCGCACACATCGCCGAGTATATTCTCGAAGCGCATATGCTGGAACTCCTTGAGCAGTATGGCGGATGCGGTGATCACCAAGGTGGTGAACATCACATAGTAAACGGGCGTCACAATGCTCGTATTAAATATGTCCAGCGCCTTGTTCAGATAGTTCATCTGTATGGCTATAAAGGTGACGGTCACCACGATCAGGAACCACGGCATCCACGTGCTGAACACAGTCGAGCCATTGGCAATGGTGCTGCGTATGGCCAGGCCCAGTGCCTTGCAGGACATCACCGTCAGGGAGCCAATGCCGGAGCACAGGAACAGGTACACGCAGACATTGGTATGGCCATGTTGTGGCGCCACAAAGCAGGCGACAAATGCGCTCGAGCCAAAGATACAGATGACATAGAGTATAAAGACGGGATCCTGCAGCATTTCGAAGAGCACTTGCAGATCCTCAATCTCCTTCTCCTTGGGCGAGTGTATGACCACAATTGTCGAGCCCAGGATGCACAAAAAGCAGCCAATCTTGCCCAATAAATTGAGCTTCTCGTTGAGGAAACGCGATGCCATCACCGCCGAGATGATGACGCTCAGCGCGCCCAGCGGCGTGACCAGGGAGGCGGGTGCGAATGCATACGCGGCAAAATTGGCCGCTTCGCCCAGACCCACTGCAAGGCACCAAATGATATCGAATGAGTCATCATTTTTGCACAAGGTCTTACCTGATCACAAAAGCAAAACTCACTTGTCAACAGCCCCGCCCACCAGATCCATTCACGCAAATAGCCAAAACCGCCAGCCGCGGCGCGCACCTCGCCATATCGGCTCAGTCGCAGCAGTGCCTTCTTCTTGATAATGAAGCTGGAGCCGATGAAGAAACATGATGAAATGGCCAAACCGACGCCAATGTAAAAATCCGTATCCGAATAGGGCTCAGTCAAGGGGGGCGTGTCCGAGACAACGGATGCGGCGGACACAGCTTGGGCCGGCGGCAGTAATGAGGCTTCGCTATTCATTTGTCAGCTATTCGTGTTGTCGGTAACCGCAACTCTAAAAGAAAAACTAGAATAATAAATACACACACACACACACACACACGCACGGCTCGTAATCAGCTGAAAGTTGTTGTCTGCATGACTCACATTTGCCCTCGAGGCTTGAACTCAATACCAACACATAAGCACATATAAGCAAGCAGTTTGTCTGAGCTGCGTGCATTATTTATAGAATTTTAATCAACTTACTTGTTTATTTAGCAGCCATGCAAATATAAGAACTGCACGCACAGAAACTTTGTTTTGTTTGTGCTCGATTTCGTTTTACCAGGGCTGCACAAATATATGTATCGAAAGTATCGATTATTATGCACTCACGATCGACAATGTTAAATAACAGCTGTGCTCTGTTAGTTCTTATTTCAACTGTTGGCACATTTATGGCACAATTATAGATTTTCGTTTGCTAAATAACTACAACAACTCATTGTTACTGTTGTGCACAATGCAAAATTTAACACCGGCTTGCTTGCAAGCGCACAAGCGCGTTTTCTCATTTAAAACAATTGCTCACTGCTGTTAACAGTGCGCAGAACTGTTAAGTTTCGCTGTTAAAAAGGTAAACATTAATAACAAATTAATTTGATTAAGCATATTCGAGTGGTTTTTTATTTCATCACGCCACAGGCGATTTTCTAGCAAAGATCTTTAGTAGCAGCTGCAGCAGCAGGTAAACTGCAGATAAAACCAAAAAGTAGCTGCCATAAACAATATACTGCTGCTTCGGCGCCAGGCCAAAGCCCGTGTCTGCAATGGAAAGAAAGGCTTAGCTTGCGCACATAAATAAAAGCAACTGCGACTTACCCGTCAGCACGACAACAGTTAGAATCGATTGCAAGACGAGCGCCACCAGCGTATTGATGCCAAACACCAGCCCGAAGCTGTCGTCCACCAGATTCTCGGCCACAACGGCAGCTGCCACGGTGATGATAAAGAAGAAGATGGCACAGAAGATCGCATAGCTGACGTACGCCACCCAGACGCTGCTGCAACAGGCCGCGAGCAGCAGGAGCACGCCCAGTAGGGCCACACACAACGAGTTGAGCAGCATATAGAAGCTGCGGCGACTGTTGCTGTTCAGCATGCCGGCAAGGATGGCACCGACGGCGCCCAGGAGGGTGGCCACCGCTTCGACGCCGCCGTTGTAGTTGCTCTGATGCTCCGGCGCCAGCTCCTTCCACAGGAACTGTATGTACGAGATGACCTGCACCTGGCCGCAAATGGCCAACGCCCACCAGATGCTCCACATGAGCACAACGGGATTCGTATAGGAGGAGACCAGATGATACCACAGCAGGCTGCAGGCGTTCCTTAGCGAAAACTTTGGCACCGCCTGCTTTGTATTGCCATTTTCCAGCTCCGTCGGTGAATCCTTCACGGCATAGAAGTACACGCTGCGCGGAACACTCGGCAGGAGCAGCGCGATGGGCAGCGATATAATCTGTGTGGCCAGCGAGATGTAGTGCAGCTGGCGGAAGTTCATGCAGTCCGTCGAGACGAGCAGCTGGGCGACAACGCCGCCCAGAAATTTGCCACCCAATATTGCGGCACGCGTATGCCCGGTAACGAGCTGATAACGTTCCCGATCGACCTTGGCATAGATGTACGTATAGTAGGCCACCTCGGCGGCCATGAAGAAGCCAAAGAACACCTGGGCTATCTGCAGCTCCAGCAGGCTGCGCGTCCACAGCAGCATCACAAACAGCACAATGCCCGCCACCGAGGACAGCACTATGATGGGCTTGTAGCGCAACAGATCCGTGATGAGGAACACGATCACCAGCAGCGCCAGCACCGAATAGGTGCCAAAGGGATACACCTCCTGGTAGATCTGTTCGGAGGTCAGATTGCGCCAG